AACACTAACATTAACCGAAATAGTGACAATGATATCAGTAGGAACACTGATGAGAATAATGACCATGCCCAAAGCTCTGGTACTGCTAGAAATATCAACGATATACAAATAGCGAGGGTAGCGGGTAGCTGGGGACTTTAAGGAGCCCCAAGCCCAATCGCTCAAATCCCGGGGAAGCTCTTGAAGGGATCACTTCCAGCAGCTTCGAGGCTTAGGGATCGGTTGGGGGTCGGTGCTTCGGCTTTAGGAGAAGAGCTTGCGGGTCACGCAAGAGGTTTTTTTTGGGGGTCTAACATACTGTGCTCACCAAAGAAAGGAACCCTAAGGAACTTGTGGCAACAGGCATCGCGGTTTGTGCTTCTGAGCTTGCAGGCTGAAAGCCTGCACAAATGTCTGCCGCGAATCACTGGATCCGCACACCGATCAGTGAGGAAGCATCAGAACACGAAACTTTGGACCCCAAACCTCAACTTGGAGACTCTACGTAATTAAGTCTTCATCAATCCCACGCACCTCCCAGGGTGATAACTCCCAGGAAGGACACGATGAGGGCGGTTTTGTTCACCATGGGCCCAAGCTGGGGGCGTGGGGCCCAGGAGAGAAACACGTATCCTGAGCCCCCTGCGGAGAGAAGCATCTCAGCAAGGTTCTAGGGCTCAGGGTTTGCGAGGATTGGGGGCATAGGGTTCAGGTAGGGCCCATGAAGGACTCTAGGAGTGCCTATGCCTTCCGATGCAATAGGCAAGCAAAGCTCAACGCAAAGGAAGGGTAGTGGCAACAGGTGCCCAGCCCCCAGGTCGTGCAAGCTGTCCTTCTCGGAAGGATGGGTTTGAGGGCTTTTCATGTCCTCATTCAATCAAATCACAATTCTTTCTTCCAGGGGTTGTTGCGTCATGTTGACTGGGGGATCTTATTCCTTCATGAACCCGCCTATGGGTAACTCAAGCCAGAAACCCAGACCCTAGAACCGTCCCCTCAGCACTAGCCTGCACACCCTATGCGAGTGCAAAAGAAGTGCAAACCAGTGTTTCCTAAATCCCGATCGCTGCATGTCTGAGATCGCGGCTGGCTCTGAGGATCGATGGCGTTGTCCGGTCCGGTAAAGCCCATGGCCTTGCCGGACTCAAGATGTCGTCGCATCTTTGGTGGTTTAAGACATCAAGAAATCAACATGGATCTCTTGCAGCAAAACCTTTATGCAGCAAGTCTATCGGATAAGGCGGTGCTTTGTGCTCCAGGAATCGCAGGATCAGGAACAGCTTGGTACTTAATACGTGCACAATGATTGTTAGCAGCGTAGGACGAGGCGAAGACTCGAAGCAAAACCCCCAGTCAGTCCCAAAACGACCCTGAACCCTAACCCTAAAAACCCCGATCCCTAAACCCGAATCCCTGAACCCTAAACCCTAAACCCTAATCCCTAAACCCTAAACCCCCCGCCAGGACGACGAGCTCAGCCGGGTAGTCCACGGTGCCCGTCTCCTTTAGGGTTCACGGTTTAGGGTTTAGGGGTTCAGGGGTTTAGTGGTTGAGGGTTCAGCATTTAGGGGTTTAGGGGTTGAGGGTTAAGGGGGTTTCTGTAGGGTTCAGGGCAGCATCTCAGACAGCGCGAAAGTCCGGGCGTTTGAGGCTAAGGCTTGGTGTTTCATGGTTGGGGATTCGGGGGCTTCGAGATTAAGGTGTTGGCCTTGGGGGCTCGGGGCTGGGGGTTGGGTTTAAGACTCTTGCCGACAGGGCTGACATTCATCTCTGCTTATTTAGCACACCCTGGAATAAGAACGCCAAGCCCAGGAATCACAAAAACAAACGAAGCTGGAACCCGGAATGCGATTCAGCCGTGACGTTTACTTTGCCATCCGTAGCCCGGTTGCTGGATCTCCAGTATTGCACTACGACTGTTGACTGCCGTCATTGAAACTGTCTTAGTATTGCCCAGATGTCATTGATTTGCTTTGTCTTCCTGTTTGTGTTAGTCGTGTTGTTTTGGCCACATGACGTTATCATTGCCCTGAGCAGCCCATCAAATCTCGATGCACCGTTGATATTGTAATGTGTATGTTTTTCTTGGTTCTCGTGCAGCCTTTGCTTTGTAAGCTCTTGGCATGCGGGACTCTTCCACATTCCATGATCTGTGTACTGTGTACTTTTCTAGTAGCTGCCTATGGTCGACACTTCAGAAGATGCCGTTGATAGGCCTTGCCCCTCAACCACCGTTTAGCATTCTGTTTGACACAGTTAACCTTACAAAATTTCAACATTCGCACCTGAATCCTAAACCTTAAACTTGCTTAGCCCTTTTGCCCTCGCCGCCAAAGCCATGGAAACCACAGCAACACCATCGTGTCTTTCCGTAAACTCTAATGTACCGAGTTCTTCCGATCCTTGAACTAAGCATAAGCTCGTCTCCTTGCCCGATGGGTTGAGCTTGGAAGCAATCACGCCGCCAACTGCACTGGGATCCTGCATGTTTCGATTTTGTGGTTTAGTCAGGGCCCGGAAATCTATAAACCCACAGCCCACAACTCTGAGACGTCTTGAGAACTATCCCGCGGAGGCCATCCGAAATGCTGAGCACAGCTCCTGGCCACTTGCACGTCAGCAGCTTCATAACTCTGTAGGTTCGCCGGAGTCTACCCTTCTCAGACCACCACGGATCTCCAAGACCAAGAAGCTGAGGGCAAGGATTCCCCAGGGTCGGGGCTCCGGTTTTGTGGGCGCGCGGAGAACTATCGGGTTTGGGGCTCAGAAAAGACCTGCTGATGAGCAGTCGCTCAGTTGAGCCTCTGCATCAAGGAAGTCAACAGTTGAATCTTCCGGATCCCAGAGGGGGAGGAAGTTCTTCGGAGGCAGTGAGCTACTGGCACGGAAGCAAAGTTGGCGGCTTCTACGGTTTCAGGGGGAAATGTGGATTCCAAAATCTATCGCAATGCGCCACTCATCCTGAAGCCCTGATTCTGGGGCCTGAAGCCCTGAATTTAGGCATGAAAACCGTAAGTTGAGCTGATCCGTCCTGGGAGGAGGGGCGGAAGCTCTTGGTCTGCACCATGTACCTTAAAAAGGGCATGGAAAGGAGTGACAGTGGTGAGTAGGGTTTAGAGGGTTTTGTTTGGGGGGTTGGCTCATGGCGTTTGGGCGGAGCTCCGGGTCGAAGCTTAGGTTTAGGGGCTTTCGGTTCTCTGGCTGTTCGGGTCAAGCCCTGACACCGTGAAGCCCATAAGCCCTGAAACCATAAGCCCCCACAGAAAGGCCTTTACTGCCATGGGAAAACCACGCCAAAACGTTGTGAAACTTGTTTTTGTAGTCCCGCGTGCCACCATAATTCTTGCAGCTTGCTAGGGTTCAACAGTAGTATTAGTAGCAGGAAACAGACCATGATAAGATTAATTACAGCCCGGCGACCTTGAGCCAAGCCCATAACCAGTCTTCCACTCCCAGCACTAATCCTGAGACCTGGGCCCCAAATCCCGATCCGTGGCCCTGAACCCAAAACCGAGTAAACTGACGTCTGGGCACTCGCGGGGATCGCGTCCCAAGGTGGACTGGCCCTCGGAATGGGCGTAGTCCACACCTCGGGAGGTAATCAGCGGAAGAATAAGAGGCACAAGAACGGCGGCATAGGATGTTACGGCGTTATTACGGTTCAGGAATTACGGTTAGATACTACCATGCAGAGTCAAGCAGTGACAAACTCGAAACATACATTACACCTTTGAAGTTAACATTGGCTTGCCGCTTGGGGATCGGGGTTGTGACCCCTGTATGGCTTTGGCGGTATATACTACGGCACCTAGCCACATGGGGCACACGTAGAAAGAAGTTCTGTTACCAAGTGTTGGGGCCTCTGAGTTACAACAGTGATGCTAGAAGAGGAAACTGTCTGATGGCATTATCATCATCATCATCGTCATCACCAAGCACCGTCATCATCTTGCTTCACCACTACTACTACTACTACTACTACTACTACTACTACTCCTACTCCTACTCCTACTCCTACTCCTACTGCTACTGCTACTGCTATTGCTACTGCTACTCCTACTACT